AGAGTTAAGGGTTGGGAAAAGATTTAACAATCAAATGGACCCAAGAAACAAGCAGGGGTAGCAATCCTAATATCTAACAAATTAGATGTTAAACTAAAATCAATCAAAAGAGATGAAGGAGGTCATTTCATACTCATCACCGAAGAAATCCATCACGATGAAGTCTCAGTTCTGAACATTTATGCCCCAAATACCAAGGCATCCACGTTCATAAAAGAAACATTACTAAAAATCAAATCCACACATAAAACCTCATCACTTATAGTGGGAGACTTCAACACCCCACTCTCAACACTAGACAGAAACTAAAAGAAACAAAGGAACTAATAGAAATTATGACACAATTGGGTTTAACAGACATCTACTGAACATTCCATCCAAACACAAAAGAATATACCTTGTTCTCAGCACCACATGGAATCTTCTCTAAAACAGACCACACACTTGGCAACATTAGCAAACCTCAATAGGTACAAAAAATTGGGGTAACCCCCTGTATCTTATCAGACCACCATACTTTAAAGTTAGAATTCAACAACAACACAAATTGCAGAAAACCTACAAACTCATGGAAATTGAATAATGCACAATTGCACTATTCCTGGGTCAAGGAAAAATAAAAAAGAAATCAAAGACTTCCTAGAATTCACTGAGAATGAAGACACAACATACCCAAATTTATGGGACACTTTGAAAGTAGTGCTAAGAGGAAAGTTCACAGCATTAAGTGCCCACATAAAGAAACTGGAGAATAGTCACACTGGAGAATTAACAGTACAACTGAAAGCTCTAGAACAAAAAGTAGCAAACTCAACCCAGAGGAGTAGACACCAGGAAATAATCAAATTGAGGGCTGAAATCAATAAAGTAGAAACTAGGAAAACAATACAAAGAATCAATATAAGGAAGAGTTGGTGACCCGGAAGGCCTGGAGGATTCCTGGCAATCTTGTTGCCTTCAGTATGTGTTTAAAGACAAAGAATACAGACTTTGATGCCAATGAATGTTGGCAGCAACAGGTTAGGAACATTCAGAAACAGGACAAGAGGAAAGATACAGGATCTCCTGAGCTAATTGGGAGCATAGAGGGAGGGGAGAGGGAGTTAGAATAAAGAGAAGTGAGAAAGGATTGGAGAGGAGGACAGGAGAGAGCAGAAAGATGGAGTCAAGGGAAGAATAAAGGAGAGAAAGAAAAGATATACCATAATAGAGGGAGCCGTTATAGGTTTAAAGAGAAATCTGGCACTAGGAAAATGCCCAGAGATCTACAAGATTGACCCCAACTAACAATGTAAGCAATAGTTGAGAGGCTGCCTTAAATGCCCTTTTCTGATAATGAGATTGATGACTACCTTATATACCATCCTAGAGCCTTCCTCCAGTAGCTGATGGAAGCAGAAGCAGACAGCCACAGCTAAACACTGAGCTGAACTTTGGGATCCAGTTGCAGAGAGGGATGACTGATGAGCAGAAACAGCTAACCTGAACAAGGGGTTGCTTGCAGAACCCAGACTGATAGCTGGGAAACCAGCATAGGACTGTTCCAGACCCACTGAACCAGGATGCCAGTTTGGAGTTCTGGTTAATCTATGGGGCCTTTGGTAGTAGATCAGTATTTATCCCTAGTACACGAATGGACTTAGGGTGCCCACTCCACATAGACACACCAGGGGAAGTTCTAAGCCCTGCTCCAAATGATATGACATACTTTGAAGATGCCTGGAGGATTCCTGGTGATCTTGTTGCCTTCGGTATGTATTTAAAGACAAAGAATATAGGCCTTGACGTCAATGAACATTGGCAGCAATAGGTTAGGAACATTCAGAAACAGGGAATGTGGCTGTCGGGCAGAAGCAGTTTTTTTTTCTCCCACACCTCATTATATCTGAGCAGCTGCTAGCAGGTGCTGTCCATTCTTGTAGAGGGTCTTCCCGATTCAGTGAATACTAACAAGTGGTCTCATGAGCCTACCCAAGACGCTTATCTTTCAGTTGACTCTAATTTCAACAAACTCCAGAACTGTGATTAACCATCACAGATTATTTTAAACTTACTTGTCAATCACATTTCTCTTTTGTAGTACTGACAAAATACTTGTGATTTTACTGGTAGTCCCTTTTCTTGAGCTTATGTCTACTTTCTTTCACAAACTGAGTACCTTGTCACCAGAAATTGCATTATATATCTTTACCACCAACATCATTTTCATTGTGTTTTGTTTGTGATTTGAACATTTTTTTTTACTGTTTGGTTGACCTTTTAATTGCTATTACTCTTGGTTTCTTCCTCCTAGACACACATTTTCATTCTTTTTTTTGTTTGTTTGTTTCTTTTTCGAGACAGGGTTTCTCTGTGGCTTTGGAGGCTGTCCTGGAACTCGCTCTGTAGACCAGGCTGGCCTCGAACTCACAGAGATCTGCCTGCCTCTGCCTCCCGAGTGGTGGGATTAAAGGCGTGCACCACCAACGCCCGGCCACATTTTCATTCTTAAAGAAATGCATATGTGTTGAATGGCTAATGTAATTCAGGGTCCAAGAGATGCAAAATGATTCCGTAAAACCTATGTGAAAGATAATTGCATTAAAAACTGGGGTTAAAAGGGAAAGACAGGACTGGGAAGATGACAGTGTCAGAGACAATAATTGTTCAAAGAACTTTATGACAAATAACCACAGGTGAATTTCAAAACAGCCCATGATTATCCTAAACCAAGTCAAGCCAAGCCAAACAATGGAAGCAAAGACACCTAGAGACAAAACTGGGATTCAGATCTCATTCTTATTACCTTCTTATTGAGTTATTGTGTGAGGGTAGGCATGCACATGTGTGTGAGCATTTGAACCACTGCCTATAAATGGAGATTTGAGGACAACTTGCAACTTCTACCATGTGGGTCCCCGGGACTGAACTCTGCTTGGCAGCATGCATCTTTACCTTCTGATCAATCTCACTGGTCCTCTGGTCTCATTCTTTCAGCCAAAATTTATGTAATAGGATAGATTAAAGAAAAGTACAGAAAACTAAATCCATAAAATAGTCAAACCTTAACAGAAGTAAATGGCTTTTATTTGTCATGAATTAAGCCACTTACTTCTACCTTCTTCCCTTGCATATAGTCTTCCAAATTCTAAGGAGGAGAAATTGTAAAGCTGGTCTTTCTTAAAGTTTGTGAGTTGCCAGGGAAAGGCGAGGAGGAGGGTCCAGAGCTGATTATGAGAAGGAGGGGCTTCCTTCAGAGGATGTGAATCTCTGTCCAGCTACGCAGCAATTCCACACAGCACTATGTTGAACAGGAGGGTAGAGTGAGGCCAGAGGGACATCAAATGACCGACATAATGTCATGACTCATGTGGCCCTGTAATGTGAGGTTTTTTCTGGTCCAGCTATGGTCTGCCTGCCCCTTTCTACCCCAATGAAACATGCAGACACTATATGTGTTATAAATACTGTTGACCTTCGGCTAAGGTTTCTTATTTGCTAGCTCAAACTTAATTATTAACCCGTTTTCTAATAATCCAAGTATTTCCACGTGGCCTTATCTTACCGGAGATAAGGTCCGGGCCTCTTATTCAGTTGGGGTCTACATTGCATCTGCTCAGCTTCTCTGCAAAGAAAAGAGAGCCTGGGATGCTTTCCTTTTGTCCTTTCTTTTCTTCCCTTCTTCCTTCTCTCCCTGTGTCCTGTGCTTCCTCCCTCCTTCCCTCTCTTCCTTCTCCCATGAACTATTTCCTCCCTGATATCCATCCTGCCTTTTTTCTTTGTATCCTCTTTTCTTTACCCCTCCATGCACCCACACATGCACCCACGGTGGACCTGAATTCTGGGGTATGGTTGTTGGGCTGCAGTTGATGTAATGGAATTTCTGAAGGCAATTTAAGCAGATCCATCTTATCCATGCCACCTTCTTTCCCCTTTGGGGTTTATGTCACCCCTCATCAGGAAACCTGAGAGTGTGCCTTGTGTAAGCTCTGTGGTCAACACAGAAGGCAAATGTAAAAGTCTAGGCTACATCCTAGCTTAGTATGCACACTCTTATTTCAGAAATTCCTCTGTGTCAGAAGATGGAAAATTGAAGGCACAATGCAGTATCATTAAAAGTTATTTCTGGAGCTGGGTATTGGAGGCACTAGCTGGGTGGTGGTGGTGCGTGCCTTTAATTCCAGCACTTGAGAGGCAGAGAAATGCAGATCTCTGTTAGTTTGAGAGAATCCCAGGATAGGCTCCAAAGCTAGAGAGAAACTGGAGAAGTTGCTTGGTGGTTAAGAATAACTGGTAATTTTACAGAGGACCTAGGTTCAGCTCCCAGCAGTCACATTGTACTCACTACTGTCTCTAATTCCAGTCTAGGGAACCCTATGTCCTCCTATGACCTTGGAGGGTTCCTGCACGCACATAATGTACTTATATACAGTCAGGCACATACATATAAAAAGAATTAAAATTTTTTAAAATATGTATTAGATTGCTGGGATGTATTTATATTTTTATGTCTTATTGATATTTAACATACCACTGAGTTACTTGGATAAATGAATGCCACATACTTTATTCATTTTCTTCTGGATTAGTTCTCAACTATTCCAGACCCATTTAACAAGAAGTTTTGTCTGTAAACCCAGTATTTGTGAGGAAGGGAAAGGGGATTTTCAGGGTAAGATAGATGGATAGACTAGTCAGTATTGGTGAGATCTGTGTAGGGGAAGGAATTGTATGTAAAAAGAATTGAGAGAGGGAATATAAATAAATAAAAAACAAAGGCTGGGTGCTGGGGCAGGCCCCAGCAGCCCCAGATCCTCCATGACCACATTCCTGGATGGAGAGCAAATGTGATGGGACTATACACTGAAGTCCAGCCAGAAAAGTGCCTTTGTTCTTTATTTATATTTTCCTGACTAAAGGGGTGACTTTAAAAAAATTATTAGCTACTTGAGAATGTCATACAATATATTTTATCATATTTACTCTCTCCCAAGAAGAAATAACTTTGATTCTTTGACCTCTTTATAAATGTCCTATTTATTCGATTTCATTTCAAAGGAACCAATTACTTCTTCAACAAAGAACGAGTAATTCCAGACAAATTTTCTTGTCATTAGATTTTTTGGCTTTGCTTTTCAGCGTTAGCAAAATTATTTTCTTTTTAACAAAACTAAGGTTCACTCTATAGAAAAAAAACAGAACTAAGAAAGATATGTTCAATACACAAAACCTTGTGAGACATGCTCCTGAAGAATATTTTTCTGTGCACTAAAACATGAATTTCTTTACACAAACCCTCATGGTTTTTGTATAAGTTATGGATCAAGACAATCTTCAAGGCTATTTTCTTTGTCTCCATCATGCAACTTGGGTCTTCACTTGTGCATAACAAGGCAAAAGAAAATATGTGACTTGAATTCCAACTGTTCTTTCTGAAATTAGCCCCTCTAACCAAGGCTTTGGCTTTGAACCCTGAAATCAGGAGGAGGCAAATCCATACAAGGAAGATCCCAGGAATATGACACAGAAGAGGCCACATTGTTCACTGTCAAATTTCTAAATCTGAAGTCTGTTTACTCTTTCCTTCTTTTTTATTTAAACAAAATGGCTTCAGCTTCATGTAAAGGATTGTGTGTGTGTGTGTGTGTGTGTGTGTGTGTTATCTTCTTCCTGAATTCCTAAAGGTGTTACAGCAATGGTTTTCTCTATTTTTATTTCTATTTATAACTATATGATCTAAGATCTCAAGAGTTAACTGGGACAAGATCAACATATAAGAGAAAAAGCGAAAGATGTTGGCGTCACTCAGGAAAGCAAAGGGGTTCTTGTTATTATCTTGACAATGTGACAGCAGTTATGATCTACAAGTTACTAAAATGATAGGTACAAAAGAATTTATATGTAGTGGAAAACATGTTACATGAAAGCCACAGAACCTGTCTGATTACAAAAGTCAAATGTGGTCAGTATGTAAAAATTTTCAAGCTTTTCTAAGTGGTAAGTATTTTCCTGAAGGAATATTTCTGCCAAACTCAATGCAGAATGCAGCCCCAAATAAATTTACTATGGTTGAGTTAGGCCCATTAGTGAACTCCACACAAGTCCAAGGCTTGACAGTCTTGAAAATAAATTTTGTTCTAGAAAATCAGTGAATCAGTGTTGGCTTAATCCTACTAGCTTCCAAAGCTCTGACAGTTTAGTTTTGATGTGTGTGTATGTGTGTGTGTGTGTATGTGTGTGTGTGTGTGTGTGCGTGTGTGTTATGTATAGGTGAGTTTCTACTCTGGAATTTTGTGGTGGAGATATGTGACAAGACATTTAAAATACTTGGTGCAGCGTTCAGCTGAGGACAGGATGGTCAACCAATGGCATCTATGGCATCTACTCTAAACTCTCATCACCCTGCTAAGAACAGATACTATATTTACTTATTGAGCCTTGGCAACATTCTAAGTTTCAGCTAAAGGACTGAATAAGCATCATCTATTGGTAATGACCTTGAGATCAATGGAGCTTAGTTTATTAATTACAAGTAATTAGTGGTGAAATTGGATCAAACCTTGGGTTCATTGCCAGAGTTCAATTCCTTCTTATTAGCAAGCCCAGATCTGAGCATACCTTTTTGCAAGTCAAGCTTTTGATCGTTGAGCTCTCCCTCACTATCAGAGCACTCCAGAAAAACAGAGCCAACTGGAGATGAGACACTTATCCCATAAACCAGAGAGTCAGTGATTACAATCAGTCTGAGTCTGAAGGCCAGAGAACTGGAATTCCAGGTGATACTTGGCAACCATCCCATCACTCATTGAAGACAGCAAAGGTTGTGGGTGGGGCATAGAAGCCTTTCCCCCATTTTCTCCCTTTTATCTTCCTTGTTAGAGAGATGGGGGTCTGCCACTGACTATGCAGACCTCTTTGGGAATTCCATTTACCATACTTCATTCAAGCAGTGGGTCTCTGTCTCCTTCACATCTAAAGTAATCTGCCTGATGGTTGCAAAGATCCATCCACAAATTCCTTTTAAGTGCAAGCTTAGCTCCTCCTACAGCTTGAGATGGTGCTGCTTCTGAGGTGAGATCATCATCTTCCCTGTCTCTTGAGAGTACCACTTTATTCTGCATATCCATTCCTCAGGGATTTGTTACTATTCTTCCAGTGTAAGCTGCTTTGTTCACAGAGTCCTTCTCAACAGAATGCAGGCAATAATCACATTGGACCTCCTGATGTGTTGGTCTTTGCATCAATACTAGTCAACATATATTGAGCATTTGCTCTCTGAGGGATACTGTGTTAATTACTGCAATGAATTTACTCCATTTATTCAGTTAACTCCTTTATGTTAAGCAATTCAGTGTTTGCAAGGAACACACACATCTGCATACTTTGAACACTTTAAATCATCCATAGATTACTTGTAATGCCTAATAAAAGAATGTATATGTTACAAAACAATATCTATAGATTGCAAGAACAATATCTATAAAGCATATGTGATTGTGTTCTGAATATCACTGAACTGTTATCAGTTGAATTAGTGCATATAGAACCTATGATGTAATGGAATGTAGGAATATATAAGGTTGTTCAGGGGACCAGCATTTCAGATTGACATAAGAAGAAAGTAGGCCATAAGTTAGTTGGCTGCAGAGGTAGTAGCAGTCCAGTGAAGAAACATTCAGGAAACATTGATTCAAATGCTGCAGGTTTGAACCATGAAGAATGTTGAAACGTATAGAAAAGAAAGACACTTAGGATGTACAGAAGCAATTAGGAGTCAGTTTGGTGCTGGAAGCTGCATCATGATGTGGGAACCAGAGGGGGATGTGGACTAAGAAGGTTAAGGCAGCAGTAGAAAGAAAAGGGTGTAGTGATTCCAGGCTGGGGAAACCTTTCAGCAGTAGACTGCTCTGGGATCATAGTCTCGGGATGACTCAGTCTCTCACATGTTATTTCTTAGGTTCTCTCCCTGATGCAAGGAAACAGGTCCCTGTTGGCATCTGGCAAAGACAGTTTGCCAGTTGCCAAGACAGCTCACAGAAAAAAAGCTCAAGCCTTGTTAGAGTTTCCATGCATTGTGGTATTACCAGGTTATGAGGAACTCTGGAAGCCACATCATGACAAACACGGCCGTGATGCAGTGACTGATAACTGAGGTGCCAGTAAAGGACACAATGAGACAAGGCAGATGACTTCTGAGTGTGTGTGCCAACAGGACGGAAGACTGGGGCTTTAGAAGGGACTGGCACTGGGGATTTATTCTGCATGAACGTGCTGAGGAAAATGTGTGGATGGAGATGTTCACATTCTTGGGTGATAAAGTGCGGAAGACGGTGGATGGTCCCTGGGAATCAGAGCCTTGCTTAAGTCATAGCAACCAAAGCAGGAAGATAAAGAATGAAACAGGCTAGTGGACAGTGTCCAAAGGACCTTGTCTTAGGTTCCTAGCTAGAAAGCATCCTCTGATTGCTCATTCTCTCATACAAATAAGAAGCTTCCCTCGGGAGCTCCCAGCATGCTGTTTCTAACTATTTCATTTTTCATCTATTCCTCATTCCAGAGAGTCATCCTTTGGCGTTTGGATTCACCTCCATGCATTTCCCCTGTAGTAGGAGCCTTGCTGTTCCCACAGCTGGATGGAATCAATTGCATAGCTTTTGGCTTTCACTTGAGGTACAAAAGTAGGAATAGACTTGTAGCCAGAAGCCTCACCTCTCTCTGGGTTCCATGGCAGTATCTTTTTTGTGATTATATAAGCTAGGACCCTATGGCATTCATGCTTAACGCTTATGGAGACTTCCTGTTGCACTTGAAAGAATTCATGCTGTTAGACTCTTGACCATGACCTGAAGGGAGTGAGGGCCTTCACTTAAGTCCTCACTGTCACCCACCACAGTTGGCAAAAGGTGTTTCTACACCCCAGTCCGTGAACTTTGTACTTTTCAGCTTTCCAGTCTCTTGAAACTGAATTCTCCAGGGTTTCCATCTTCTTTCCTTCAGGTCTTTCCTAATAGCTCCCTCTGACGAGGTCCCAGGGGCACTTCCCACCCATGTCACACAATGCTTCCTCCGTGAACTGTCTGTGTGGAAATGGTTTTTATTTGCTGTTTGTTTCTTTTCTCTCACCTTACCCAGCCCTTGATGCACAGACACTCTGTCTTGCTCCCAGTTGCTTCCAGCTTCAGCAACTTCACACCTCTAAATATGCCTTCCAGGTTCCTGAACAGACCCAGATGCTCATCTTTCATAAAACAAGGCCACACTGTCTTTTTCTTGAATTTTAATTACAGATACATATTTGTGCTTATATTCACTCTCCTCTGCTAGGATACATGCTCTATCAGGGTAGAGGCCATATCCTTTAGGCCATATGCTACTTGGTGACTATAATATACCCCAGACAGGCACAAACCCAGTGACTCCTTATTATGTAATCAATGAATATTAAAATACTCTAAGCTTAAGCATAGAGTAGATGGGTACATAGGATTTGGATTCCCTTGCTACAGGTGTTCTGGGACCTTTCATTTTGTACGAAGGTCATCAAACTCTCTGGTTTACCAGAGATTACTCTCCAGCACTACTTGATGAAGGACCTGGACTTGACTCTGTCATAGCTGGTGATGGTAGAGTCATGCCACATCTGATCTCAAGGTCAGAGTGACCAACGGCAGCCAGCTGAGTCAACCTCAGGCAGGGTGTCTGTTTCCCACTGCTGGCAGGAAGGACAGACTCAGGGGCCACAGTGTGGCTTTGAACCCATGAACTCTGGGCATGCTTTTCGTCTGTCCAGTTGCACTGTTGCAGATTTGCACAGTGTTCAGGAAGCTCCTCTGAGAGATGGTCTAAATGCTGAAAGAAAAGACAAAAAGGAGTGTGTGAGGAGCAGGATGGGAAGACAGACAGCCATGGTGACATGCTGGCTGCACTGGTTACTTCTTTGTGAACTCGACACAAGCTAGAGTCATCTGGGAAGAGGCTCCTTAATTGAGAAGCTGCTTTCATCAGATAGCATGTATATTCTGCTTAATAGTGAATGTGGCAGGGCCCAGCTCACTGTGGGTGGTTCCACTCTTGGGTAGGTGGTCCTGAGTTGTGTAAGAAATCAGGTTGTGCAAGTCTTGAAGAGCAAAGAAGTAAACAGAAATTCCCCATAGTCTCTGCTTCAGTTCCTGCTTCCAGGTTCTTGACTTGAGTTACTGTTCTGGTTTCCCGTGGTGATCTACTGAGTTTTGTAAGCTAAATAAACCCTTTTGTCTCCAAGTTGTTTTCAGCCACGGTGTTTTATCATAGCCACAGAAAGTAACTAGGGCACATGGGGAGAAATGTGTGGTTCCAGGGATCTGAGGTGCAGAGAAAGGCAAGAAACCAGACACTACTAAGATAGCCAAAATTACTCATCAAAACAATGTATGTTTCCAAAGACATTTTACAAAAGACAATAAATATTATATATTATTGTATATTATATTGTATATATTATAAACTATTATATAAACTATATAGAGATCATGCATTTCTACTTACCTCTTGCTCTTAACTCTAAACAACATTCCCCATGAAACTTATAAGTTTGTTCAGAGAAGGGAATCCTTGAAAAAGTTTTTTAAATTACAATTTATAATTATTTACACAACTCTTTGTAGTTGCCTAAGGGGCCCAATAAAGGGTGTTGGGTCCCGTACAGGTGGCTGTGAGCCAGCAGTCAAGAGTACTGTATACCAAACTTCTGAAAGGGAAGTGCTCCTAACTCCTGAGCCACCCCCGCCTGTCTGTAACCTGTACCTTTGCTGGGAGCTACTGTCTTTGAGCGGTGTTAAGACGGGGAGGGGGCTCTTCAAAACTTACAGAAATGTACCTTGAGAACTACACAAGTCCTATATGTACCCATGGAAAAGTGACCCATGTGACTTTCCACATGTGAACATGCTTTACTCTCCCCCACACTTCCCTCTGTTAACCCCTGTGGTTAGATTCTACACTGAAACTCTCTTTAATAGACTCCAAATCTGTTCCATTTGGCTTTATCTTGGAACTATTTTTCCAAGAGGTCATAAATTTTACTTCCACTTGAATGGAGACCCAAGAAGGAAAGAGGGATTCTTCAGGCCACTGCATGTAGGAGATAAATAGCTACCTCAGACTTGCAAGAAAGGTGTTTATGAGGTCCGAAAGTTCTGTAATGGTCATATGAACCAATAGCAAGGTATAGTAGTGACCTAGCTTATATTGGCTCAAAAGGTGAACTTTGCTATTCTGAAAGCCCTGTTCTTACATGGCAAATGGGTACTAGTACTTTGCTCTCCTCTGCATGGCAGGAGAAAGCTTGGAATAGCTGCAAACTGAGCCACCCTCCACTTGACAGCTGTGTGGACAAGATCAGTGCAAGGTTAGTCTCATGACATCAAAAATGCAAGTGTGACCATGAAGCATGCAAAACTGCAGTCTGGAATGATCACACCACTGGCTTCTTATTTAAGGCGCCTCTCCTTTGCAGTTGTAGATTGAGGACATTCAGACTCTGCATCCTCCACCACACCCCTTACCAGTAGGATCCCTTCTTTGATTTGCCTGGCTCGGTCTCCTAACTGAAATGCCAGTTCTGCCACCTGCTGCCTCAGGGCCTCTCGTAAGCTCCTCAGGTCCTCAGCTTCTTCCCTGCGTTGAGATAACAGAAAAGCAAACTTTAAAATCCCCACAGGTGCAGTCTTCCATGTCCTTCTCATGAAATGGGTCATGCCTTTGATATTTCGTCTCAATTGTGTGTGTGTGTGTGTGTGTGTGTATGCACGCACATGTGTATGTATTCCTGCATGTGTATTTGTGGGTGTGTGCATGCATGACCACGTGCATACGCCTGGCATAGTGTATGAGGAGAGGGGTAAGAAGAGAGACACTTACAAGCAGTTCTCCCGATGAACCTTAGGTAGTCAAGCTGGGCAAAGTGAGTGCCCTTACCCACTGAACCATTTCTCTGCCCCTGCAATTACTAAGAAGACATTTTAGCCTTCCTTATTTGATTTGACTGTAGAGGTAAATCTGTTAGGGTAGGTACCCCCCCCCACTATGCATACCATTTTCAGTGCTAGGAATGGAAGCTATGGGTTTGTGTTTTTTTTAGCAAGTATAGTACCATTGAGCCGCATCCCCAACATACCCTCTTTAAATAGAAAGTCTGTTTTGGTAGAATTTATGTATCATGTTTACCCATTTCAAGATGCAATACATTATTTATAAGAAAACAACAAAGTTGTTTAAGGATGACCACCATGCAGCTCTAAAACATGCCATTGCTCCAATCAGAACCCACAACACTAGTGCCCTTTACTGTTAAAATCTATCCCCACAACCACAGGAAACCCGTGATGCATCCATCTTGGTAATATTTTCAATCCCGTTAACAATAATGCACATTTCAAAACTCTAATACCTCGCCCCAATATTTGCTTCTGTCCAAGCCCCATTCCCATCAATTAAAGGGATCCTGCAGGCCTTTCCCGTCCTCCCAGCTGATTGACCCTCTTCTAACCTTTCCAAATAGCCCCAATTTTCAATAAGAATGTGCCAATCCAGTGATGGGTCTCTCAGCCTCACACTGAGAAGGCAAAACTAGGACCAGGAAACAAAGGAAGAGCTGGCCGATTTCTCATTAGCCCTGCTCCATCGTGCGCATCTGCCTTGCCTGCCCTGATTCCCTTCCCTTGCTCCAGGTGTGTGGTCTGGTACTTTTCTGATTGCCTTAGATAATTACCTTTCCTCTTCTGACATGTCCCTGGGAAAGAGTGCCTGCTGTCCCGTGAAGTGCTGTTCAGTTTCCTCTAAGTACTCCTGGAAAGTCTGGCACACCATCTTCATGGCTTCCATCTCATAGACTGTGCACTGACAAAAACAAAAAAGTCAGAGAATGGTGACCTTTCTGTTAATGTGGCTAGAGGGCTAGGCTCTGCCTTTCTCCCCATTTGGAATTCATTGCTTGCAAAGAAACCCAACTGCTTTCATTTTTAGACGAGACCAGGGAGGCCCAGCCTGTGACTTTGGATGAAATTAGAGGTTGCGTTTGGCAGAGACAAAGGGGAGTGCTTGCTGAGTGGTACTTGGGTGAGAATTAATTATGTTCAGGGGAACCTAAACCAGTCCTACACAATACAGAGAGATGCAAGGAAGTGGACAGAGGAGAAGAGTAAGACTCACCAGAGAGCAGACTTACACTTAGACAAACGAAGCCTCCTTTAATCTTGCTCGGTGTTGGTACCCACTACCCCATCACTCTTAGCGTCAAGAACACTGAACACATCTATTCGTGTGTATTTGTTCAGGAAAATCTACTTAGAGTGCTTTTATTTTTACTAGTTTTACCATTGATTGACCATAGTCCTTAAAGAGGGAAATCTGCAAGATCCATTCTACCCATCCAATAATCCCAATTGAGAGAAATGTTAAATTTCCATGCTCTCTATGAGCTAGAATCAAGACTTGAGCTCCTCTTGACCCCAGACCCTCTCAGTTTTCAACCCTTGGGGTCTCTTTGTGTATTGATTTTATATGTTCTTGCAACCTTCAAGAGCTGTGAAATTCTTTACAGCTAGTAATTCTGACCTACCTGTAGTGGTAGGTCAGACTCTGGCATAGCACGTGACTATGCCCCTAGGATGATTACCCACTACCATCCAGTTAAATTGCTTGCCTAAGTGTTGGGGGGATACTCAATCACACTGTAAACCCTGAGTTTGCATTCATATTAATTAAATAAAATAAACCTTGACTCAGGAGACTGAATTAGCAACTAGTTGGCAGAAAGTACTCATAGAGCATCAGAGGGCATCTGGAAGAGATAGACAGATGCACCAAAAGACCAGAGGTAGATGGGAGAGACTTTTTTTTTTGCAAGGTGAGAGGACATTTTTCAGAGGAGCCAGCAAGGAGAGAAGGTTATCTAGGTGCTACTCAACCTCTCTAAGCTACCAGGTTTTCCGCCCAGCCTTTGAATCTCCAGTCTCATTTATAGATAGAACCACAGAGATTTAGTTAAAGCTACCTTTAGCGGCAGCAGCAGAAGCAGTGCCTGTGGGAACAAAATTTCTACCAGGCTGTGGCCTGAGCATCCAGGGCACTGCAAGGGAAGCAGGCTGTGGAATTGCAATTGTTAGTTGAAATGGCAGTAGATTGAGGACAGCCACTGTGCCAAAGATAAAGCAACACCTAGGAAAGCTTGAGGTTGCCAGAACACACACACACACACACACACACACACACACACACACACACACACACACAAACACACACACACACACACTTCTGTTGCCCTTATGTTAATGAATTTGGAATAACCGCTTAATATAGGAGCCTACTACTCGGGAAAAAAACTAGTTCTCACTCTGAGGAAGTATTGATTGCCTGTAGTTTTTCATCTAGGGGTAAGCCTAGTTTAATTTTCCTCCATACATGCTATCATGGAAACAGGTGTGGTCTTTTTAGGTCTTGTGAAGACAGCCAGGTTGTTGAGCATCCCTGGGTATAACATCCTTGTCATGTCCACACTGCCACACAGCAGACATTTCAGTCTCTAGTTCTTACAGTCTTTCCACCGGCTCTTCCAGGATGTTCCCTGAAATGATGCAGGGGTTGTACTATGGATGTTCTGTCTGTCTCACAAGGCTTACTTATTCTCTGCATTTTGGCCAACTGTGGATCTTTACAACAGACCCATCTGTTGCAAAAAGAAGAGCTCCTTGCTGAGTGCTGAGAGATGACAGCTGTATTGAGTGAGCACTGCCAGGAAGGGAGGCACAGAGGCACAGACTCTAGCCTCCCTTCTTTTCAGCAACTGCTCAAAGGGCTCACAGTTGTCAACAGGTGTCTTTCTTAAGGACCTGAGAGCCATTCCTTTGAAGTGAGCCCAACTAGAAGTCTCCATGGAGGGATGGAATTGTCTCTGTTTCTGGAAAGTCCAAGACTTCTTAAAATCTTTCTCCTCAAAATCACATGTACAAGATCATGGCAGCTTGGTGTTTATTGTTTTACCTAGAAGTGTTTAAATACAGTCGGGTCACAAACATGTATGTCCTTCCAGCATTGAAACCCAACATTTGAGCCCCTGCTCCCTCCTCTATCTCATTCTTTGTTTTTAAATCCCCCAAATCACTCCTGCAAAGATCAAACTAAAGTTCAGCTCTTGCCCTCACTGTCAGGAGTTACTGAATCATAACTGTTTCCACCACTTTTACTGGTGTCCCCTGTGCATCTGAGAGCCTCTGAGCCCAGTCTGTCTGTGGGACACTGTGCCGATTTGCTGATCTCCTGTCAGCTCTCTTCCTTGTTTTGCAATGTGTATTGGATTACTCTTTGTATACACCTATGGCCCAGAACCCCAGGGCCGCCACCATCTGACTTTAAGTGCTACTAACACTGGTGGATCTCTAGCTGTCTCTGTCAGACTCCCTTCCAGATCTATATGTAAGAGAAGCTTCTGGCTGCAACTCACCCTCCTCATCCACTTTCCTCTTAACACAAGTCTAAAGCTTTGCAAGCAGCAATTGTCTAACTGAAAATCTGTATTCTCTAGACTTCTCTCCCGACGCTGCTAGCCAAAGAACGGGATCAGGGGGGATGCTGTGGACTTTTGAGAAGCCATGCAAATGAGAGTCATTTGACTCCTGGGCCTTGGCCTCTACCATGTTCTGCCTCAGTTTCTGGAAAGCCCATCATTGGTTTTTATCTTTATCCTCAAAATACTATGACCAAGATCATGGCAGGATGGTGATTATTATTTCACCTAGAAGTTTCATAATGGGAATATTATTCTAAGACTGATACTTTGATATGAAAACTCTACCTCATTTTGTTTTGAGTTATTATATATTGGCTGATATATTTAGCTTTAGCCCGAGTGAACCTGAATCAGCTGGAGGAAATCTTTGGCACAAGTTATGCTGGCTTAAAGCATTACCGAATATGGCCCACAAAAATGAAAATGATCTTGGAGTCCATGAGATCATCATCTGTAGAAAAGTGTCTAAACATGAACTCTTCAATGGCTGTAGTCAAAAATGCTATTCAGATTTCAAATTCAAGTTACATGGTCAATCTTTTCCTTCTCAATGTCTAATCAAGTCACTTCATGGAATAAGGGGTGACCAGAGAGCATGAGGAGGCACCTGTCCCTCAGGAGGGAGCTGGACAGTGCTTCTAGTCAACTCAGGTAACTGCTTTCAAAGTTCAAGGGACAGCAACGCCAGACCATGACAGCACGGTGCTCAAGCAGACTGATGTCATTAATGCTGGGCATCAAGTCTCAGCTCTATGTCTGGGGGCAACCCTTTGTGGTTGGATTTGGGAATAGCTGACAGCCAGTTTGTAACTGTAGTGCTGTGGAAAAATTCTAAAGTGCTGCCATCTTCTGGTCATTCAGAAATACACAATTAAGCTCCAAATAAACAGAGCACTTTTTCACATTTCTGGTGTCCACTGGTAAAAGTTAGACAAAGGCTCTGGCAATCCATTCAGGCAGAGCCAGTAAAATCTTATCTCCCTGAGGAATGAAGGATTGTGTGACCCCCATCGGGTGGAGGATCCCAGCCAGCTGAGATGCTGGCAGACAGCAACATGAATGGAAACACAGGGAAGGAAGAAAGCCTCGGGAACCAGCGGAAGTCCCTGGCCAGTTATAGACCAAATGAAGGATCCTACCTGATTCTGATGACTCATAGCAACATTTCCATATTTCTAATCATGTTTGCTTTTCCAAGGAAGATTATTAATAAATATATTTAATAATGAAAAATCTAATTGTATTTTCAAAAAGAAATACATGTAACCAGAGATATTTAATACCTTTATAATGAGACAAGTAAAGCAAAATATAAATTATAAATAAATACAGCAATATACTATGTTAATGGATTAGAAAATCCATTAACAATACTGCTGAGATTTCAATTCTTGTCAAAGTTGTCTATTTTTAGCCAGTTCTAGTGTGTCACAGCTTCCCCTCAGCTACTGTAATAAAACATACTGATGAAAAACAAAACAAACAAACAAACAAAAGCTTCAGAAGTGGCAAAAACATTTCAGAAGAAAGGAAACCACAGGCAAGGGGAAAAAGGGAAGCAGAGGTGTTGATCTCTTCTTTTTCTTTTTAAAGACTGGGTCAAACACACATAAAATACAAAGTCTGTTCTATTGGCCCAACTCATTAATGCAGGCTCCAACAGTAAGAGTGAGAGTGTAAAACCAAACCAAAACAAACACACAACCTTTCACTTTCTAATCGACTCACACTTTTTAAACTTTGCACAATTTCTTTTCCCTTTAATCCAAACCTATAAATATTATAGAATTTTTTCTATACTCAGAAATCTTATTTCTCATGCATCTTATTCTGGAAATGTGCTTGACCTTGCAATAACGTATTTTAATTAAATTACTCCCAAGAACTCATATATGAAAGGTTAATTATATGAACAAACAAGTTTTCCACTGACGAATTATTGTTAAAAAAACTCACGTACACATATGAATCTAATCACATCAACAAACCATTCTTCTAGGTAAGCTAAAAGACCACAAAGCCAGCTATGGGTTTCTCCACAGTGTCACACATCAATGGAGAGGGGATACTTTTTCAAATCAAGATTTTACCCAAAATTGCTCTTCGTTTCAACATCTACTTTGAATGCCTGTTGTCATTTGACAGATAGCATACATCTCTGTCTGTAATCTTTATTTCACCCATGACCAAGTTTCTAGTTATTTTTGTCCTAATAGATTTCCTAGCCCTAGCTATCCCATAGCATTTCACTTTGAGACACATGTCCTACAGAACCTTTTCTCATGTTTCATGGACCCAATCAGGTGAATTCTAGGGCTCAGACGCAGTACGTGCATGGCTTTCCTTCACCCTTTTTCAACTTTCTTGAATAACACCTTGCTCGTGGGAGAAAGCAACCCCATGCTTACCTACATGTGTGTGTGTGTGTGTGTGTGTGTGTATGTGTGTGTGTGTGTCTGCAAACTGGCACACATGTGTTAGTGTATCAGAGCTCATGAGTTCACTGTTCCCATTGAATGAGTATATCTGATCCCTTAAAGGAAGAGAAACACGCGGCCATCTAGTAAAACTGTAGAGCATCCGTTTCAGCCAAAGCAATTATTGCTGTGTCTTTCTGTGTAACTAATAATTCTTGATTTTGGTTGGGCTTATGTATTCATGTATGTGCAGGTATGTGTGTGTGTGTGTGTGTGTGTGTGTGTGTGTGTGTGTGTGTGTTTGGGTCAGAGGTTGACATAAAGTATCTTCCTCAATCATCCTCTGCCTTATTTTGGAAATAAACTCTCCAGATAAACCTGGAGCCCAACTGTTCAGCTAGACGGACTAGTCAGTAAGCTTCAGGGAGCCACCCGTTTCCGCACCACCACCCCAGCACTGAAATTACAGGTGCATGCCCTTGTCGGTGCCCATAAGATGGCTGCACTCCATCTTGGCTCAAGGGCAGAGAGTTCAAAACTGTCCTCAGCAAGTCAGAAGGCCTAAAGGTCAAAGGCATGGCTGCAGTAGGGTGTTTGATCTTGGTCTTGGCTGCCTTATTCTAAATAACGACAAACCTGGTCTGAGGTGTGGTTACTCCTGACCAGGCCAAGGAACAAGAAGCTAAATCTAAGGTGTGGTTACTGAACCCTTAGAGTAAAGAGGAAGAGAAGTCTGTTTGCTCCATATATGTTACCATGTCCCCCTTTTTGGTTAAGGTATACAAGAATGGTGAAAAATAAACTCGTGGCAATTCAGTATTAACTGAATCTGCCCTCCTGACATCTGTTCTGTGTCTCCCCTTTTTCTTTAACTACTTTATCCAGATTGGCTGGCTATGACTGCAGCCCTGCACAGACAGCTTCCCACATAACCATCCACCCCCCCGCCCGCCACATCCAGCTTTTTATGTGGGTACTGAAGATACAAACTCAGGTCCACGTGGTTGTATAGGAAGTGCCTTACTGAATCATCTCCCCAACCCCTAATAATTCCAGACTGCAGGAGGAAGAGGGCTAAGGCATTATGAGGCAAGGGCTAGGAGAGCACGGATAGCAAAATTCAAACACAGTCAACTGTTGCTAGTTTGACACCTACATACAAGTTTGAGGATGGTGGCTATGCAACGATGAGCCACAAACCTTTCCATGCTGTAGTGCCAAATGAATCAGAACATCTGTTTCCAGATGTCAAATCATTCCACACAGCTAGAAGTACGTAAGTCTACAGTCCCCTTTTGACAGAAATAGGGGAGGGAAGATTCTGGTACATATACAGGTACAGGACCAGGCATGGGTCCAAGCACAGGTCTAGGCTGAGTCTCTATCCCTATCATTAGCAGCAGCCTTAGCCTTGAACCAGCTTTGAGTCCCTACACTGAGTAGTTTCTATAGGTCTTGTCAAGTTGGTAGCAATTATCAAACACAATTTGATGCAGTCATCTTCTAGCTTCTCAGTCTATGGATACATGCTTATTATTTCTCTTCTTAACATTGCCAAGAAATTATATACATTATTTTCAGTTGGTGGGGGTGGTGTGATCAGAAAGCAGATTAGTATCTTACCATAGCATATTATACTAAATTATATTGGGTATGTCTTGAAGAACTCTTTGGAATTTTTAGACATAATTTTGATTGTATTTTTCTTGTTATTTTAAGTAAAATAAATGTAAGGCCAAATGTGATTTAATTTATGCTTCTTTATAAAATTTATCTTTGAGGTGAGGTCTCACTACGTAGTCCCTGCCACTTGCTGTGTAGTCCAGACTGACCTTGAATTTATAATGATCATCCTGTCTTAATCTACTGAGTTATGGCATTACAGACATGTGTCACCATATCTGGACTAGGAATTCAACACAGAAATAGGAACATTTATTTCTGTGGTCTAATTATGTGTATAATATTGCAAATGTTGCCTTCTTTAGCTAACTTTCGTGCCCAACATGATTTCACACAACTAAATGGTCAGGTGAATGCTTACTGTTGCAGAGCTATGATTTTCAATCTTGACAACACATTTTAGACTAAATAATTATCTGTGGTTGGGCTGTCCTGTGCATGTGTAGTAGCATGACAGCATCATCTCTGATCTTTGATCATTTGTTTCCAGTATAATATCACCCACTACCCTTCCAGCTATGACTAGTAAAGACGTCTTCAAAGGTTGGCAATGTCATCTGATGTAGGATCAGGGCAGGAAATTATTCTTAAAGTACTCACAACCCCTCAACAAATGAATACAGTGGTGGTTTTCCTATTCTCCCAGATTTTATTTTATTTCTGTTGGTACTGAAGATTGAGGTAACAAGGCATTCTACCACTGAGCTATATCCACAGCCCCATTCTCCAGGGTTTTGACCTGGCTGGTTTGACACCAGGATCCAAGCTACACATCAATCTTTGCCCTTTTCATTCACTGAATAAGATACCCAGAGTTGATTACAATGCCTACATGAAGCTTTCTATGGTTAGTACAACCTTTATTCTTGGCTCATTCTTAAATATTCTAAATGTCTGGTGTCTTGCAATCTGAAAATTCATTTCTCAGTTTATGTTAGGCTTATGTAGAGTTCTATATGTTAAAAGTTCATATTCTAATTTACTTTATCTTTCACATAATCACTCTTATACAGATTTAGATATTTTAAAGTTGGGCACATCATTGTCTAAAAATTTGAGTTGAGATTCTCCACTTTGTGGTTGGGAACTGCTGAAAGATTAACCAAATTCTCCCAGTTCTAGTTTTTTTTTAATTTGCAAAAGAGAGCATACTTGACACATATTAGAAACCCAATATATATTTATGGCATATGAGAAATCAAAAATTAAATGACACAATATAAATTAAATGTTTAGAATAGACATTCAGTATATTTTTGTGGAATTAAAAGATAAACAGGCACCCATCAAGCATTGTACCCTAGCACTCAGTAAGTCACAGTTCCTCTGTAATGTCTCTGAACAGCCGCAATTCTGTATCATCAATACCCTTTTCTCTTTGTATGTTGAATTTCAGATGTGGTAGTCTCAATATTTTGCTTGATAGTTATACTTGAACTCTTAGATTATCCCTACCTTAAAATACTGAAAAAGACCATAAAAAAGACTCATTAAAGACAAGTTGGTTAATCAAGTATTAAAGTACGTTGACATCACTCATCTTTTAGTAGCCCCAATACTCATGGTTAAGGCAATTACCAAAGGTTGACCATAAGTCCCTCGATAGTACATCAGAGGTTCATGTAGTACAGCAAAAATAAAATAGTGATACAAATTGATGATTAGAGTCATGCCCTATCATTTAATACTACTTTGAGTTTTCTTGGTGTTATGTTTTTTATGACAATGGAATAAATCAATTCCCTACAAATGTATACATGTACGTATGAATGAATGACCTGGAGTGAGACAGGTTCATTAGTGTTATAACCTTAAACATATGAGTTTATGTCATAAACTATAAAACACTCAACAAACACTCATATTTGAAAATAAGAGCTATACCCCGAGTTTTCTCTGCCATTAAAGAAGATGAACACCATCTCTGTGGTGTTATTGGCATGGTTGGTGCATTTGCCTTCCCCGCTTTATAGAAGAAACACTTACAGAACACAAGTCCCTCACGGTAGTGTCCTGAAGGGTTGTCAATGTCTTCATGAATCGGGCTTCAGGATCCTCTGTATGTGAGTACAGGCAATGCCTACAAAGAGAGGGTTCTATACCAGAGCTTTGCCTCCTCCTCTGGCAATTGGAACAGTTATGACAGCAGGCACAACAGTGGGCAGGTATGAAGTGGCAGAGTCCTGTTGCAGAGGTGCTAGGAAAACCTGTGTCCAAAGATATGGATTTGGTGAGGAGCCAGGGGCTATGAATTGAGGCCTTATTATGTGAGGGCCTGGGATCGCATTCATATGCACAAGTCTGAACAGCAGCATCATTGACCTGCTTTCTTTCTGTCTGCAGTCTTAGGTCTGTGGTATTAACAGGCTCACGTGGACTACATTCTAAAGCTGTTCCTTTATAGTTGGTTCCCAAGTCTGCAACACCGTGAACAGCTGACACCAGATTGCAGGTCATCTGGGTTGTCACAGACCAAGATGTGGCAGCGTTTGAGGCAGTGGGAGCATCTCCAGATGGCTTATCAAGGTGGGGAACTGACTTCTCAGAGTTTTGAACAAGGTCACCTTTATAGGGCATGGCTCCTCTGTGCTTCTGAGAGTGCTGTGCTAGCCTCTCTGGCACCACTGAGCTTTGCTTGATGTCAGGGCAGACCTTGCTGCTGTCCTCTGTTCCTGGGACCCCAGAGTCCACATAACAGAAAATTTCTGGAGCCTGATCAATCCCAGATGACCTTGGTGACTCATTGTGATGCCCTTGTATCAGCATTTTTCCAGTACCCTCATGTCTCAGAGACCTGTCTTCTTTTTCTGTGACATGAGTCACCATGACCCCCATTGTATTATCACATGTAGAAGTGACTACAGTTCCAACAGTACTCCCTGGGTGTTCTCCCATCATCATGGTCTTGGTGAGGGTCATATGTGGGTTGACTAGCTGTGGTGACCTCTCAGTGATCTTAAGTTGAAGCTCTTCCTCCTCCACAGGTCCTGAGATGTTTCCTTCCAAGATACTCCCACCGTGGTTTGACAAAGATGAGCTCACCATGCTCTTGGATGTAGAGCCACTGGACTCTTGCTGACAGTCTTGCCATGATGCTGGGCTATGACTCTGATCGCTTGGTTTGCTATACTCAGTAGGACTGTGGCTTCCTGGCAAGGAAGACACCTGCAGGAGAAACCGACATGGGAAAGAATGAGGAAGACGCAGCAGTGTTGTATGCACGGTTACCAGTGACACAGAAGTCATGCACACAGGCTACAAATGTGAAATCATAACAAATTACTGCTTCACTTACCACCTCTTCCTGATGATGTTCAGCTCATAATTTAGAAAAATCAAAACAAGAGAAAGGAGAGGAAAGGTGAGCATCTTGGCACTTGGTCTACTGTGATTTTATCATTCTCTGCCCACTGATTGTGTGTGTGTGTGTGTGTGTGTGTGTGTGTGTGTGTGTGTGTGTGTGTGTGCAGACTCATACTTCCAAGTACTCTAGGAATGAGGGTATGATTTGGGGTGATTGATAGGAACTAAATGTATATAGTAAGCATCCAGCACCCCGTTCCAGCCCCCTCTCCTACCTGGAGGGAATGGGGTTCTGGCAGCTCCTCCAAAAACCCACTGCTATCTGACTGGCAGCTGTTTGTTCTGCCCATTCGGGTGCCTGTGGGAAGAAAGAGACCTGGAGGTTAGGCACGTGAAAACATGCTGCCTACAAGACTAAGAGCAAATCTTCTCTGTGCATGGCACATTAGAAATCTTCTATTGTCTGACCATGAAGACCCCAATGGGAGGCTTCCAAGGACATTTTTTTCTTAAGTATCAGAAATCTTATGTAAAACTATATTTACAACTTCCCGATACAAGAGTAAAACATGACCCAGTAGAAGAATTTACTTCTTAACATGTAATACGATGGATTGTGAGTTGAATCTTTATTAAAGACTAGACAATCCAAGAAGTGCATATGCCCCTAAATGTCACATTAATAAAACAATAACACACTACTATGTAATATTGTGCACATACATATTTTTCCCTTAACTAAATTTTAGATGTGAACCCTCTTCTAACTTTTCCTGGACTCTAATTCTAAGACTACATAAGACCATCTGCTAGTGTAGACTGTGGCTTTTGTTACCATGAAACACTGGATATGGCAGAGAAAGAACAATGGTGTGTGGATAGGTTAGGATTTTCAGGCATAATATGTACATGTTACATATATCATATATAGTATTGTGCTGTGCTATATTGTGTTGTGTTGACTGGGCTGTGGTGTACTATGCTTTATTGTGCTGTGCTGTGTTGTATTGTATTTGGGTTGAAAGAATAGGTACCTGCTAGCAAGTCACTGTACTAAATATTAAACTATGGCTTTGTATTTTGAGGCAGGATCTCAGATCGCAGGCTGGCATCAAATTCACTATGTAGCCAAACCAGGGATGACCTTTAACATCTTATCCACTAATCTCTAACCCTTGAATGCTTGAACTACACATTTATACTTAGCATACTTAGTTTAATGCAGTGCTGTGAAGCAAATCCAGGATTTCACGCATGCTAAGTAAATACTGTTAACTGAGTTCACTGTAGCCCAAATTATTGTATTTCTATTTTTCTCTAGTTACAATTGATTACTCTATAAGGTCTTATTTTTCTCTGGGAAAAAAGACAAAGAGTGAGTCTGAAATTTGGTCAAAAAGGGTGACTGTTGATAGATATGATGCTTAGATATCTGATTCCCAAGTAAGAAATACATGCTTTTCAATTGCTGGGACAGCTAACTGCTGAAGAAAAGCTCAAAGCTCTTAGACACTGCTTAGGTTTTCCAGATCAAATCTTGAGGATGCCTTCACTAACATCAATGCTTTCTCTCCACAGGGAGAGGAAGCCAGTCTTAACTGCCATGTGCCTGACAAAGAAGAAATGGTCTCTGAGGTGGTCCTGTCAGCCCATGTCTAGCTCATTTGTCCTTGGGTCAAAGCAGGAATAAGAATGCTGGCCTTCCTATAATTTGGAAGTTCAAATCTCATATCCTCTAATTCAGACTCAAGAAATTTGAAAGCCAGGAATCAATAGACAGAAGCATTTAACAGCTGAACCTGGATGAGACTGAGGAATTCAGAGGAAAATTTTGAGGTAACAGTTTCTCTGCCGTGACCATAACTTCTTGTTGTGTTGTGAAGGATAAAATATGGAAATATTCACCCAACATCGACCTTAAAAGGATTTCAGCTTTTTGCAAGCTGGAGTAATAGGGACTAGAGTTTCTCTGTCTCCAGAAACAATCAGATCCTGGACAAATCATATGAAAAATAGTTTTCGTTCTGTTTTGGGACAGCAGACAGCAACTCATGAGAGCAATAACTAACCAGGTTCATTGATGTGAGTTCCATGGTTTACATGGTTTGCTTCTAGTTTAAAAGCCTCAGTACAGGAACAGGAACTCACCTGGAGGCTTGGAACACACTTTTAATAAAGGAAGTAGAGTGAAGACTCCAGCAAGACTGAACCATCAAGAGTTTGTTGGGCAGGGTGGGAGAAATAGAAAGTTCTGTGGAGGAAGAGTTCTGGGTCCTTCTTAAGCTATGCTCTAGTATAGGGGAGGAGCCATCCGAAGAAACTGAAGGAGACAGAGTTCAACCCAGGGTTAAGAATAGGGCATCATTCCCACCTGCCATGTTAGAAAACTTTATAACTCACACAGCACAGTGAAGGTTCTGACTTGGAGGTGAGGAATAAGTAACCTGAGAATAAGCAGGTTCTTATTCCTCATACTGACTTAAAAATAAGACTCAATTGCATCAGAGTGTTTCCTGGTAACTCGACTCTGTCTCAGAAGTAAGCTCAAGAATAGCTTTCTGGAATGCAGCAATACTTACCACAGGCAAAATTAAATATACATCCCTTGGCATCTCCTACAAGATACCAGACATGTGAAATGTTTGCTTACCCTTCGATTAACAGCTCCAAACCTATGGTTATGCAGGTGGCCCTTATAAAACATAGCAGGTCACAGAACCCAATACAACTCAACAACAAAAATATGGGAATGCATGGGAAATATTTGTAGGTAGGAGGGTGGAGAGAGAGATAAGAGCTGGACAAGAGGAATAATCAAAATGCATTATATCATGGATAGAATTGTCAATGAAGGAACATAATTAACTATAAAAGAAACAAGTAAATATGACCTTAACAGGGAGGGGGAAATTGACAAAAGGAAACCAGTAAAGAACTGGTGGTAATGATAGAAAGATCAGATAAGGACATTAAGGCACTTATGACTATATGCCATATGGCCAAGACTCTAATGATATTATGAAATGTGTTAAGTGAAGACATTGAAGGTGTGTGTGTGATGGGGGAAATCCTTCTGTGTGTATGTTTGTCTTATTGGTTGATAAATAAAGCACTGTTGGCCAAAAGGGAAGCAAGATAGGTGGGACTAGGAGTCAGAGGAGGATTCTGGGAAATGTATTCAAGAGTAGAGAGTAACTATGTGATTCCAGGAAGAGAGGACACATGAGGCTGGCATCCTTGGAAGATAAGACATTAGAGAAATATAGATATTCATAGTTATAGGTTAATACTTAAGACAGAACTAGCCAATGAGAAGCCCTGGACATTGGCTGACAGCATAGCAACTAATAGAGTCTCCATGTATTATTTGGGGTTGATGCAGCTCTGGGATCAGGCATGTGTAAAGAATGCTCAGTGTGTGTGTGTGTGTGTGTGTGTGTGTGTGTGTGTGTGTGTGTGTATGCATTGTATGTGTATGTGTTTAAAGACCTGGATCAAGTTAAAGATGAAAATAATTATAATGTTTTGATAGTTTATAATTGATAAGAATAAAAACATATTAAAGACTGTGCAATAAAACACCAATGAAAAGAATGCATAACTATAGAGATTACTCCAAATCAAATGTGGAAAACAAGATTTTAAGTAGTAAAAACCACATCAGTGCACTGTGGAACAGTTCTGAGCATATTGATAACTGGAAAACTCCAAAGAACACGGAAAACAATTGAAATGTTTGATAGAAATAAACCCCCATCACACAGAACATAAAGAAAACTATATCAAGGTCCATCAGAAACAAGCCATTCAACATGAACAGAAGAGAAAAAAAAGCCTTAAAGTCAAGCCCATATTACATACACAATGAACAAAGATAAAAGCAGAAGGAGAATTAGCTTTGAAAATAGTTCAGGAAAAAGATATGTGAATGACTCCTTTTGAGGACAGACAGTGAAGAGCCTGAAAAGAAGCATTTAACTCCTTTCAAAAGAAACTGAAGACTGGGGGCAAACTCAGTAGTTGAGGAGTTGCTTATCATTGTTAAAATCCTGGGTTTCAGCCCTAGCTGTGGGGGGGAATTGACTATGCAAACAAAAAATTATAACAAGATAGTGTGGGATGCAAAATACAAAATCCTATGAGTCTATGAACATAAGTACTATTATAGGTTATATGGCAGGAACCAGTCAAGTAAGTGCATTTAAGTTTAACATTAAATTTTTATGGAACATTAACCCTAGGAATAGAATATGTTTGCTTGCTATCTATCAATGAAATAATACTTACCATTTGTTATTGGAAATTTGTTTTATGATACTGAATTTGTGTAATATAGTTAAGACCTGGCTGATCTTGTTATTTTTCCCTTATTTTTATTTAAGTTAGAAACAAGCTTGTTTCACATGTCAATCCCAGCTCCCTCTCCTTCCCTCCGCTCCTCCCCTGCCCTCCCCACCAGACCCCCCCAGGCTTCCACCCAATCTCCACTCCAATCCCCAGGGAAGGTGAGGCCTTCCATGGTGGATCTCCAGAGTCTGTCATTTAATCCAAGGCAGGGTCTAGGCCCTCCCACAAGAGTCCAGGCTGAGAGATCATCCCTTATTGTGGGATGGACACTCAATGTCTGTTTGTACCACCCAAGGCCCCATAGATTACCTAGGCCTTCTCACTGACACTCACATTCAGGGGGTTTGAGTCAGTCCCATGCTTTCCACACAGCCAACAGTCTGAGCTCCAAGAGCTCCTCCTCGTTCAGGTCAACTGTTTCTGTGGGTTAAACAAGCCCAGTCTTAACTCCTTTGCTCAACAGTTCTCCCTTTCTGTGACTGGATGAGTTCAGTTCAGTGTTTAGCTGTGGGTGTCTGCTTCTGCTTCCATCAGTCGCTGGATGAACATTCTATTTCCCAGACACTCTGTCAGTGGGATTGTATGCTGGCATTCCCCTGATCCATGTCTAAAATCCACTTATGAGTGAGTACATAGCGTGTTTATCTTTTTGTGACTGGATTGCATCACTCAGGATGGTTTCTTCTAGTGCCATCCATTTGCCTGCAAATTTCAAGATTCCTTTGTTTTTTTCCACTGAATAGTAAGTACTTCATTGTGTAAATGTACCACATTTTCTCTATCCAGTTGAGGGGCATCTAGGTTGCTTCCAGGTTCTGGCCATTAAAAACAGTGCTGCTATGGACATAGTGGAACAGACGTCCTTGTATGAATGTGCATCTTTTGGGTACATGCCTAAGAGTGGAATTGCTGGGTCTTGTGGCAGACTGATTCCCATTTTCCTGAGGAATCTCCATACTGATTTCCAAAGTGGCTGTATGAGTCGGCACTCCCCCCAGCAGTGATCTTGTTATAATCAAACTCAACTGGTATCAAAACATGTCAGCTGAATACAGGCAACATGAATGCAGAGTGGGGGTGATTTTCAAGGTGGTTTTAAGGGTAATAGGGAGATCAGGGAGAGAAGAAGGAAAGGGATGAGTTAACAGAGGGTAACATGAAGAAGTATAATGAGCATCCACTAGTTTTCAGGATAATTTAAAAACGTAATATTTACAAAAACAAGAGGATTTTAAACACAAGTTCCTTCATGGGAGGAAAACGCTGGTCCAAGAAGACATTAAAGCTAACTGCTGGGCACAGGGTACCTTTCTAGATGAGTTATTGGCCAGAGGCCCCAGAGATACCCAAACAACATGGGGTACTGCCATTGTTCTTTGTTCCTCGCCACAACTAGGTGGTAAGTTCCCATCTCTGAAGACACTACTCACTTTGAATGTAGGACATATAGAAATCAGTACTGACCAGGAAACTCTCTCCCCGATGGGTAGCTGACATAGAGCTAGAAGGCACAATGCAGGTTGCTGGGAGAGAAGAAATATCAGTGGTCTTATCCAGATGTGGCCCCAACATGCTTTAATACTGACCTGCCTGGCAAGATGTGCCCATTGGAGCAATAGCGGCATGATAGTTTGGTGGGTAAACAATGTCTTTCTGACTGGATCTGAGCCCTGCCCCACAGGAAGGATTTCATGCCTGACACTGTCCACCTGGTCAAAAGCCCATGGCTAGGGGAGTCATAGGGCCTCAGAGGGGAAACTTACTGGTGTTGTTTGGCTAAATGATCATGTTGTCAAATTGTTTTCTTAATATTTATGTTTCTTCCCATGGATTTGTCTTGCTTGGGTAACAGATGATGCCGAGACACATAACTGGTCAAACTGTCAAGCATAAGTAACCAAAAGTGTTCAGCTGTTCCTTCATCCCCACCCCTACAGTATCAAAGGCTCAGGGAACATCACTGAAGAAGGAGCGAAGAGAATGGAAGAGCTGGTTTGATGTGGAGGAGATCTGTGAAATGCTAATTTCTGGACATGGCATCCACCAGTGTTGCACACATCAACCACAGCAGTAAGGCTCAGTACAGTCTCAGGGAAGTCTGTGGTTTGGTGGAGACCATTAGAGTCTGCAGTCACTTTGAGGACAGGGTCACCACCCCCTTTGGTTTGAGTCTTGGCAGAGGTAAATACTCTCTAGTGGTTTGGCTGCTTTGCTTTTCTGATCTTCAGCTTGAACTCCGATGTCTGTCCCTGGGTTTTATTATTCGGGTTACACAGTAGTAGTTACCTGCACAAGATCAAGCCAGTGAAAATTCCATGAACTCTAGCATGATTAGGAGAAGAGCTACTTGACAATTGAAGGATGCTGAAGAAGGGAAAATCACTCTCCTTTATGGATATGGACTATAAATAGGTTGTCTATGTCCTCATCAATAGCCTCACCCCTATCTGTACATGGCAGCACTAGTTAGAGTCAGGGAGTTTCCAAAA